ACGAGAGGAGGGGGCCCCCAAGAGGGGCCCCCAAGAGAGAGAGAGGGTGGGGGTATATATAATACCCTCCAGAGGGGGGGCCCCCTGTGGTGAGGGCGTCCTTCATGCATGCATGTGCAGCACCAGCTGCAACAGGAAGCAGCAGCAGCAGCAGCAGCAACTGCTGCTGCTGCTGCTGCTGCTGTTGCTGCTGCTCCTAGATAAGATAATGTTGTGGCTGCAGCTGCCGACGGCAGCAGCAAGCCGTTGCTAGTGAATGGAAAGAATTGAAGTAAAATGGAATTAAATTAAATAATTAATTTGATTTCATTGCATTAAATTAAATCCATTATTAATTAATTGCAAATAGGCAAGTTGCAGCAGCAACAGCAGCAGCAGCAGCAGCAATTTGCTGCAGCCAGCAGCAGCAAAAGCTGGCCGGGCCGCAGGAGGCTCTTTCTTCTTCTCTTCATTTTTGACTTTTTGTCTTTTCTGTATTTCTTTTATTTCTTTTATTTCTTTTATTCTTTTGTGTCTTTTATTATTTCTTTTATTACTATTCTTATTCTTTTTTGCTTCTCTTGTGTCTTTTTGCTTTTTTATTTCTTTTTTAATTTCTTGTCTTTGACTCTTTTTGCATTCTTTTCTGTCTTTTTGTTTTGTTCTTATCTTTCTTTTTGTCCTTTTTGTCTTTTTCCCTTTTGTCTCTTTTGTCCTAATTCTTTTATTCTTTTTTATTCTTTTATTTCTTTTTTATTTTTTGTTTCTTTTATTTCTTTTCTTTGTTTCTCTTTTTGTCTCTTTGTCGTTTTTGTCTTTTTGTCTTCTTTTGATTCTTTTTCTGTTCATTTATTTCTTCAATTCTTTTATTTCTTTTGTTTCTCTTTTCGTTTCTCTTTATTTCTTCTCCATTCACTTCACCATTTTCATTTATTTATTTCTTTTTCTTTTATTTCTTTTTTCTTCTTTATTTCCTTTGTTGTTTCATTTTTCAGTCCTTTCTTTATATCTCCCTTTTGCCTCAATGCATATCTTTTCGCTTATTTCTTTTTTATTTCTTCCTTTTTCATTATTTCTGTTTTTAATTTATTTCTTTTCCTTTTATTTCTTCTTCCCTTATTTATTTATATCTTCTTTTTTCTTTTTCTGTTTTTCTTTTTATTTGTTTCTTTCATTTTTTTGTCCTTCCACCTTTTCACAACTTTTCTCCACTTTATTTCTTTTTGCTTCTTTTATTCTTCTTTGTAATTTCTTTCTTTTTATTTCGCGTTTTTCCGTCAGATCTGTTTTCGATTTCTTTTCCCACTTTTGCTGCTTAATTTCTTTTTTCTTTTCTTTTGTCTTTGCTTCTTTTTCATTTCTGTTTTCCTCCTTTCCATTCTTGCTGCTGCTGCAGCTTCCGATGGGGCAAATGCGATTTCTTTTAATTAAATGATTTAATAAATTGTTTTTTAATTTAGCTGCTTCTCGGAAAGAGAAAGGACAGCCTGCTGCTGCTGAAGCAGCAGCAGCAGCAGCAGCAGAAGCTGCTGCTGCAGCAGCAGCAGCAGCACCAGCAGCACAAGTGAATCTGCACCGTGCTGCTGCTCTGTGTCACCGTCGGTGCCTCCTTTTGCAACTGCTATTGGGGCAGTCTGCAAGTGCAGCAGCGGCTGCTGCTGCTGCTGCTGCAAAAGCAGCAGCAGCAGCGGCTGCTGCTGCTGCTGCTGCTGCAAAAGCAGCAGCAGCAACAGCAGCGTCGCCAGGTGTATCTGCACCAGCTGCAGCAGCACTACCTGCTGCAGTATCAGCTGCAGCTGCAACAGCAGCAGCGGCTGCTGCTGTAGCAGCTGCTGCTGCTGCAGCTGCTGCTGCCGCAGCAGCTGCTGCCGCTGCTGCTGAATATGATTTCCGCTCTGTTTGGGGCTTTTCTTTCCGAATTATAGTTCATCATATCTTTCACTCTTTTTAAACTCCAGACGCATGCGGCATTGTCTTTTTAAAGCAGGAGATGCAGCTGCAGCACCTGCTGCTGCAGCAGATGCTGCAGCAGCAGCAGCTGCAGCAGCTGCAGCAGCAGCAGCAGCTGCTGCTGTCTCAGAGCCTACAGCAGCAGCAGCTGCTCCAGAGGCTGCTGCTAGTGCAGTTGATGGACTCGATTCTCTTGCTGCTACAACTGCAGCAAATGCAGCAGCTGCTGCCAGTGCAGCTACTGCTGCAGCAGCAGCAGCAGCATTCTGCTGCTATTGCAGCGTCTGCTGTTGCTGCTGTTGCTGCTGCAGCAGCAACCGCGGGGGCTAGCGGCAGCAAAAAAGAGAGAGTTGCTGCTGCTTCTTTTCACTAAGAATTATTAATCAGACATTTTGCTGCTTCATTTGGTTTACTCAATTACATTATTTTGTTGTGTTTATTAACATTTATTATTTAATTGAAATATGTTTATTAACATTAATTATATTCTTTTGTTCATTGTGTTGCTGCTCTTCTACTTCACTGTTCCTGCTGCTTAGGGTTTAGGGTTTAGGGTTTAGGGTTTGGGGTTTGGGCGGCGGCGCCCCTAGCAGACAAAGATTTGCACTCGTCTCAGTAAGCTGCTCTAGCGAGTAGCTAGCTAGCTAGCTGATTAGCTAGTAGCTAGCTAGCTAGCTAGCTAGCTAGCTGGCTAGCCAGAGAGTCCCCTAGCTAGCTAGCTAGCCGCCCACCTAGCTAGCCACCCACCTAGCTAGCCATCCACCTAGTTAGCCATCCACCTAGTTAGCCTCCTAGCTAGCTAGCTAGCCGGCCAGCCAGCCATCTAGCTAGCTAGCCACCCACCTAGCTAGCTACCCACCTAGCTAGCCACTAATCTAGCTAGCTAGCTAGCTAGCCATTTACTAGCTAGCTGCAGCTGTTGGACCCACAACACAACAAGTATTGACCTTCAGTCTCGAAGCAGCAGGAAACAGACAGCCGCGCGCAGCTGCTGCTTCTCTGCAAAATCAGCTGAGCAAGCCTAGCTAGCTAGCTAGCTAGCTAGCTAGCTAGCTATTAGCTAGCTGGTAGCCAGCTAACAAGCTGCTAGCTAGCTAGCTAGCTAGCTATTAGCTAGCTGGTAGCCAGCTAACAAGCTGCTAGCTAGCTGGTAGCCAGCTAGCACGCTGCTAGCTAGCTAGCTAGCTAGCTAGCTGCCAGCTAGCTAGCTAGCTAGCTAGCAGCTAGCCGCTGACCTCACAAAATGCAGTGCTATACGGCATGCAGCAGCTGGGCCTAGCAAAAGGTGAAGCCGCTCTCACCAACCTGGGGCCCAGCCACACAACAGCTAGCCAGCCAGCTAGCTAGCTAGCTAGCCAGCCGACAAGATAGCTAGCTAGCTAGCTAGCTAGCTAGCTAGCTAGCTAGCTACGGGCAAAATCAGGAGAATGAAGCACAAGGGGAGAGCCAAACAGCCTCTGCCAGCTATTCGCCAATCAAAAAGCTCTTGCTGCAGCTCGCCGCGCCTCAGCTAGCCAGCTAGCTAGCCAGCTAGCTAGCAGCTAGCCGCTGACCTCACAAAATGCAGTGCTATACGGCATGCAGCAGCTGGGCCTAGCAAAAGGTGAAGCCGCTCTCACCAACCTGGGGCCCAGCCACACAACAGCTAGCCAGCCAGCTAGCTAGCTAGCTAGCCAGCCGACAAGATAGCTAGCTAGCTAGCTAGCTAGCTAGCTAGCTAGCTAGCTACGGGCAAAATCAGGAGAATGAAGCACAAGGGGAGAGCCAAACAGCCTCTGCCAGCTATTCGCCAATCAAAAAGCTCTTGCTGCAGCTCGCCGCGCCTCAGCTAGCCAGCTAGCTAGCCAGCTAGCTAGCTGGCTAGCTGGCTGGCTAGCGAGTCAGCTAGCTAGCTGGCTAGCTAGCCAGAAGCCTGCGACGGCCCTCCCTTCCGTTAAAGACCTCAAACACAATGGGGGGCCCCCCAGGGTCCCTTTGGGGGCCTCTGGGGGCCCCTCTCGGGCTTCCTGGGGGGCCCCCAGGGGCCCCCAGGACGCACTGGGGGCCCCCCAAGTGGAGCTTTGCAACGAGGACCCCATATGAAGAAGGGTCACTCAGGGGCCCCTTGAGCGAGGGGCCCCCAGGCTGGGGGCCCCCTAATAGGGGGCCCCCCAGTTTGGGGGCCCCCCGTGTTGGGGGCCCCCGGGGGGGGGCCCCCCAGGTGGGGGCCCCCAGGGGGGGGCCCTGCTGTGCCTGGGGGGGTGAGTGGGCAGCAGCAAAGGGCCCCAGAAAGCGGGGTATGCAGAGCACAACGCAGCAGCAGCAGCAGCAGCTGCTGCTGCTGCTGCTGCTGCTGCTGCTGCAGGCGCCTGCGGGCCTCCGCCAGCAGCAGCTGCACGTTGCTGCTGCAGGCAGCAGCACGAGCCCGCAGCAGCGGCAGCTCCTGCAGCTGCGGCTGCACTTGGCCCTTGTCTATGCGGCGGAGTCTGCGCAGCTCTGCCACACACTGCAGTCCTGCTGCTGCTGCCTGCAGCAGCGCAGCATGAAACTGCTGCAGCAGCAAACTCTCGGGGGCCCTCAAGCTCACTTCCAAGACTGGCCGCAGCCACCGCAAGTGCCAGGGGACTGCGCGTCCCTCGAGGGCCCCCAGCAGCTCTTTTTTGGCTTCCGAAAAGCCCAAAAGCTGGACCCTTCGGGGGGCCCCCCGGGGCCCCGGGGGCCCCCGGGGGCCCCCGGGGGGCCCCCCGCGGGCGGGGGCCCCCGGCCCCTCCGGCTCCCCGCCGGGCAAACTGCTGCTGCTGCTGCTGCTGCCCACAGACCCTCGGGACCCGCTGGGCGCCCCGGACGGGGGGCCCGCAGCTGCTGCTGCTGCTGCTGCAGCAGCAGCAGCGGGAGAGGGCGGGGTGGAGCTCTCCGGGGGCCCCAAGGGGGGCCCACTGGGGGGCCCCCGAAGGGCCCCCACAGGGGTGTAGCTGTAAAGCTCTGCAAGCTGAGGACCTGCTGGGTCCTCTATGTCGTCGTCAAACGCTGCTGCTGCTGCTGCTGCTGCATGCAGATCTGTCACGGAAAGCACGAGAAAAGTGGAAATATCTGGCAGAGGTGGGGGGGGCCTCGCGGGAGCAGCAGCAGCAGCAGCAGCAGCACGCCGCGCGGGCCGCGCGAGGGCCCCGAAGGGCAGCGACAGCAGCAGGCAGAGGGCCAGGGCCATCATGCTGCTGCTGCTGCTGCTGCTGCTGCTGCGGCAGCAGCAGCACCAGCAGCAGCGGCTGCTGCGGCGGCTCCCGAGCTGCAGCAGCTACCTGTCAAGCCTTCAACAGTGCGCAGCTGCTCAGGCCTGCAGCAGGCCCCAGCAGCAGCGGCGTCGCCGCAAACAAAGCCGCACGGGAGCGCGAGCGGCCACCGACGCCTGCTGCTGCTGCTGCTGCTGCTGCTGCTGCTGCTGCTGCTAGGGAGGCCGCCGAGAGGGCTGAAACGAACTTCAAACTCACTTGACAATGAAGTGCTAGTGACAAAATGGGGCCACAAATAGCCAGAAGCTGCTGTTGCAGTCCGAAGCCAAATGCTGGAGCCGCAAGGGCCCCGGAGAGCCGCTGCACTGCCGCGAGCCCGCCGGCCGGGAGCCCCAAAGAAGGCAGAAAAGCAAACAAAAAACTAAATATTAATTAAATAATTAAACTTTAACAAGAAAGAGGAGAAAATTTAATGTATCTCGGCGGCTGCAGCTGCGGCTGCTCTGTGGGGGCGGCTGAGCAGCGGCGGCGAGGGCACGAGCTGGGGTGTACGTACACCCCAGCTGCCCAGTATTTTGAACCAAAGAACAATTTCCGCTTTTTATTTTTTCATTTGTAAATCAAAAGCTGCTGCAGTCTAAAGTTTGCTGCTGCGTCTCCGCCTGCTGCAGAGAGCGGGCAGCGGAGAAGACACCACGGCTGCGGCTGCTGCTCGTGCTGCTGCAGCTCGAGCTGCAGCAGCAGCAGCAGCGTTTGACGCCCCCCAAAAGCGCCTTTTGAAGGGAAACTAAGGGGCCCCACGGGAGCGAGTCGATCCCGATCCCGGGATCGGGATCGCCTCGCTCCCACGCCCGCTGCAGCGACTGCAGCGCAGCACGAAGCTGCAGCAAACAAACAAATAGACAAAGCCCAAATTAACAAAAGCCAAACTGCTGCGGGAAAGACAGAATCCCCAAAGCCCAAACAGCCCAGCTCTTCTAAACAGCAGCAGCCCGCGCCACAGCCACAGCCCCGCCAGCTAGCTAGCCACAGCCCCGCCAGCTAGCTAGCCACAGCTAGCCACAGCTAGCCACAGATAGGCCCGCGCCCCCCGCTAGCTGCAGCTAGCCATGCCTGCTCTGCTGAGCCGCAGCGAGCTGCAGCCAGTCTTCTCCCCGCTGCAGCTAGCCACAACTGCCTCCAGCTAGCTGCAGCTAGCTGCCTAAGGCCCCCAGCTAGCTGTAGCTAGCTGCACGTAGCTAACTAAGACCCCCGGGGCCCCCCAGACAAGCCCCGGGGGCCCCCTTGGCCTTAATTGGCTCCTGTTTTGGGCTTCAGAGGACCCTCTAAGGGGGCCCCCCATTCCCCCTGGGGGCCCCTGGGGGCCCCGTGGGGACCCCGCCTGGGGGCCCCCGGGGGACCCTATGGGGCCCCTCCTTGGGGGCCCCCTGGGGGTCACCTGTGGGGCCCCGGCAGGAGAGGCCCGGACGTGCAGCAGCACTAGAAGCGCTCTTTATTTGTTTTCTTTTTGAATATTCTGAAAGGGTTTTATAATTAAATATATTTATAAATAAAAATTTCTATTTATTTCATCTATGTACTTTTTGTGTGGGGCGGAAGCCGCAGCAGAGCAGACCCCGCACAGCAGCAAACGCCTGCAGCAGCAGCGGGGGGGCTGGCAGGGCTGAGGGGAGGGTGGGGTTGTTGTGTTTTTGCTTCCCCTCAAACCCTCTTCTTGGCCTGCACTGGAAGTGCTGCGCAGCCCAGGCTCTGCTTGCTGCAGCAGCAGGCTTGCTGCTGCTGCAGGCTTGCTGCTGCTGCTGCAGGCTTGCTGCTGCTGCTGCAGGCTTGCTGCTGCTGCTGCAGGCTTGCTACTGCTGCAGCCCCCTGTTGGGCTACGGCTCAGTGGGCCCCGCAGCGCGCCCAGGGGCCCTAGGCCACTTTTTTGCTGCGCCCGGCTCACCGCTGCTGCAGCTGCTGCTGCTGCTGCTGCTGCTGCTGCTGCTGCTAGACTAGGCCAGTAAAGTTACATTTGCTTCAGGTTGCCAGCAAGTTCTCGCAAAGCTGCATATCTGTAAATGCGCAGTCGCAAAGCCGAGCAGCAAAAGTGAGGCGCCGCTCGAGGCCTCGCCGCTGCCCTCTTGCAAACAAAACTCTATTCAATTCGGCCGCAATACAGACACAAACGCCCTCCCACCAGCTGCTGCTGCTGCTGCTGCTGCTGCTGCTGCTGGCGGTGCGTGGCGGCGCCCCTGGAGGCAGACACGCTGAGTGTCTGACTGCACACTGCACGCATCCCACCGGCGGCCGCTGCCGCTGCCGCAGCCGCTGCAGCAGCAGCTGCAGCGGCTGCTGCAGCGCGGCTGCGGGCACAGCTGCTGCAGCAGCAGCAGCAGCTGCTGCTGCTGCTGCAGCTCTGCTCCGCAGCAGCTGGCGCTGCTGCAGCGCAGAGCTACCAGGCGTCGCGGGCGGGCCCCGGGTTCCTGTCTGCAGCAAAGCCTATGCCTGCAGTGAAGCCCGTGGGCCGGCCCGGCGCTGCTGCTTCCGTGCGCCAGTCCGAAGCAGCAGCCATGCGGCCGCCGCCGCCTATGGAGTAGGCGCCTGCAGCGCCAGCAGCAGTTCTGCTGCTGAAGGATCCGGGGGCGCCGCCGAGTCTGCTGCTGCTGCTGCTGCCGGCCATGCGGCCGAAGCCGCCGCGGCCGCCGAGCCGCAGCGAAGAAGAAGTGCAGGAAACCACCAACGGGTGCAAGAAACTGGGAATTTCCTGGTTTGCTTCCTCGAGAAGGTGCAGCAAGTCCCGGAGAATGGGTCTGTTCTGCTCGTTGACGAAGGAAGTGGCCAAGCCCAAGTTGCCCGCGCGGCCCGTGCGGCCGATCCGGTGCACGTAGTCGTCTATATTGGAAGGCAAGTCGTAATTTATGACATGTTTGACATTTGAAATGTCGAGGCCCCGCGCGGCGACGTCAGTGGCCACCAAGATCGGCCTGCGGCCGGACTTGAAATGCCGCAGCGCGTCTTCGCGTTCCTCCTGAGTTCTGTCGCCGTGGATCGAGATCGCGGGGAAAGACTCGTTCAATAAGTAGTCCTCGATCATGTCGGCCTTCTTTTTGGTTTCCACGAACACGATCACCAGCCCCTTCTCCGACTCGCGCAGCAGATTCACCAGCAGCTTTATCTTCTGGTCTTCGTCTGCGTACAGCAGCCGCTGCCGAATGAACTCGTTCGTGCTGCCCACGCGGCCCACCGCCAAGTAAATGTAGTCGTGCATGAAGTCCTTCGCCAGCATTTGAATTTCCTTCGGAAACGTCGCCGAAAACATGATCGTCTGCCGGCCCCTGACACCTCCGGGACCCTCTCCCGAGACCGATCCCGGAGAAGGACACGGCGGCAAATCAAAGTCGTCCACAATGGACTTTATTTGCGGCAAAAATCCCATGTCCAGCATGCGGTCCGCCTCGTCCAGCACCAAGTAGCTCACCAGCGCCAGGCGAATCTGCACGCAGCAGCAGCAGCAGCAGCAGCCAGCAGCAAACGCAAAAAATCTCCTGCTGCTGCGCCGAAATGCGCAAAAACAGCAAAATAAAACTGAATAATGCCAAAAAACGAACGAACTCCACGAACAAACACAGATCCCAAGCCAATGCCGGGGAACTTGAATCGCCCGCTTCCTCTGCAGCCACGGCGATTCAGTCCACTGCAGCCGGTGAAAATTGAACAGCAAATGCATTTCAATGCTTTATTTGCATTTAGCACAAAAAATAAATAACAGAGACGCAGTTTCGACTGCGCGTGCAACTCCGTCGTTCAAGAAATGCGACTGAGTCCGCGAGCCCGGCGAGCCGCGGCGTCCAGCGGCGAAAACAAAAAAAGAAGCAAAAAGCGCGGCCACCACTTTCTCGCAAAGCCCTAAATTTAAAGACAGCCGCCCGCAGGCGCAGCAGATCGGCCGCGCGCCCCAGCAGCAGCAGCAGCAGCAGCAGGAGCAGCAGGAGCAGCAGGAGCAGCAGGAGCTGACCTTGCGCCTCTCGAGGACGTCCGCGAGGCGGCCTGGGGTGGCGACGCAAATGTCGCAGCCTGCGTCCAAGTCCATGAGTTGTTTTTTGATTTGGGAGCCGCCGTAAACGGGAACAGTGCGGATTCCAGTGCCGAACTGGAACTTGCGGGCCTCCTGGTAGATCTGCATGGCCAGCTCGCGCGTGGGCGACAAGACCAGACACACGGGGTACACGCTGCGCCTGTAGGCGGAGGGGCCCCCCCGCTCAGCCGGAGGCAAGGGGGGGGGCCCCGTCTGCAGCATCTGGGCTATAATGGGGTACAGGAAAGCAGCAGTTTTGCCCGAGCCCGTCTGCGCACAGGCCATCAAGTCCCGGCCCGCGAGAATGGTGGGAATGGAGTTCTTCTGAATGGGAGTGGGCCGGCTGTAGTTCACGCGGGCCACGTTCTCCATCAGCAGCGGCGAAAACTTGCAACCCACTTCTTCGAAGGACTCCACCGGCAAGATCTTCTCGCTGCCGCGCCCCTTCAACTCCACAGGCACTTTGTCGTACGCGTCGAACTTAATGCCAGTGCTTTGCTGCTTCTCGGGGCTGAACACTTCGCTCAGCCGGTCGCTGCGAAAGGCGCGTCCGTCCCGCACGTCCCAGCCGGTGCCCGTGTGGCTGTTGCGGGGGCCCCGGGCCCCGGGGCCCCGCGGCGCGGCCGGCAGCCCGTCCGCCGCCGCGGGGCCCCCCGGGGGGCCCCCGGGGGCCCCTGG